GAATAAAATTGTATTGGAATAATTATCTAAATAACAATTTATTCGACTAACGCCCAACTCTGGTTATATTTTTTATTCAGTTTACAACAATAAATTACACTACACAATAATTTTTAACCAGATAAATAACCAGGCAAGTGTGAACAACCTCACTATAAATATTAATTTTGCAATCTTTCATCAAAATTTCTAACTTTGTAATTAGAATCTTTAGAAAAAATTTGGTTTGCAGTTTTGTAGCTCATTAAAATTTAGTATAATAAAGTGCAAGTGGAAAGTGATGCTCATTTGCTTCTCTTAAAAAAAAATTGTCGAACAGCGAAACAAAAAAATTGCCAAAAATGAACGGTAAGTCCTAGCGACTTCAAAATGGCACCTTATTATACTAAAATTTAGCGAATTTTGTGTTTTTTAATTGTGCGGGGTAAAAATCTCGAGAAAAATGTCCTACAAATTGGTGATTTTTTTACTGTAAGGATGCTGTTTCAGGGCAAATACATCTAGGATCATTGAAGAAGGCTTTAAGATCTGTAAGTTTTTTTGGAAAAAAATTGCAAAATTATTTTTTGCCCGTATTTGGATCCTATATATATGTTCACCGTATGAATAATAGATACATACAGCGCCGGATTTTTGGTATCACTTTAGTATAAAACGGGATTTACGTTATATTCGGATGGGGTTTTCTTAACTCGTTACTGGCAGCACTGTTCAGAGCTCTTTCAAACACGTTTCGTTTGATATGCGTACTGTTATATTGTATAAGTAAATTTTTTATTTAAATATCTTTTTTTTGTAATTTTTTCGAAAGCCGGCAACCCTATCCAAATTGGTTTCTATATTAAAAGGTTTTCTACGTTCTCTTTGAAATAGAATTATTGAGACTCATTTAAGTTGTTAAGTGTTCTTTAAGTTTCAGATATCTGACTACCCAATTTTTCCAATTTTTTTTTTGAAAACCTTTTACAGATAGAAAGAAACAAAATGAAATAAATACGAAGCAAATCCGTTGAGCCGTTGAGTTATGCGATAACACACAATTTTCACCAAATTTCTTCCACAAACAATAGCGAAAAACATATAAATCATCCAACAATTTAATTTTAAAATAAAGTGGTGATTAAAAGTATTATAAAATATTTTATAGAGCTCTTTCAAACACGTTTTGTTTGATATCAGTACTGCTATCTATCTATATATATATAAATGTGAATGTATCTTTGTTCATTACCTTATAGCTTCTGAACGGTGGCACGGAATCGCACGAAACTTTGCACACTTATTTGCTTTTACCCCGGGAAGGTTATAGGCATAGAGAAAAATGGGCAGTACTGGAAAAGAGGGCGTGACACCTCCTATACTAACTAAAATTTTCATTTTGTATATCTCTTGAAATACTTGTGCTAGAGCATTGGACCTTGCTGCCGAGATAAATAGAACTAATTACGTACTCATGGGAAAATATGGGCAGTATTGGAAAAGAGGGCGTGGCACCTCCCATAGGCGTGAATTATTTAATCAACTCTAACTTCGGAACCGGAAGTTACATGAACTTGAAATTTGGTATACAAACATATCTATCTTAAGGTATATATCTTAAGGCATTAGCGCACACAAGGGGTGGGTTTTGGGGTTCAAACCCCCCCCTAAAGCTAATAACCTCAAATACAATCTGTATCTTAAAGCTAAGAATCCAGCTCTCAAGGAAATTATAAGAAATATTTATTATAATTTCTGTTGCATGAAAACGCGCTTTGCTTTTGCTGTAAATTTTCATGAGGGAATAAATATACGAGCATTTTTTTTCTTGAGAGCTGCAAACTGATTTAAGAAATTTCGGTAGAAGAAAACTTCTTTTCCATTTCTCGTCCGTCGTTTTATATGAATTTTTCGTTTTTCTTGAGAGTTCAGTTAATTTTTTCGGTATTTGAAATATTAAAAAAATTTAGCAATCGTGAAAAATCACCATCTCTATCGAAAACCAGAAATCGAAAAAATTAACATAGAAGTGCAAAAATTCATGGAATCAATAAATTTATTTTTACTGACTCTTTTTTTAAATTTTTTATTAGGTACCTTTGAAAGTTGAGCGCATCTTGAGTTTTTAGAACTTTTTATTAAGCAAGTAGTTTTTAAGGAAAGGACACAACCGACTTCAATTCTCATATTCAAATTTAGGGGTACCGTTAATTTCTTCATGATCCAATAATCGGATCTCTAAAACAAATTACGGGATCTTGAGGTACTATCTTTCTAATAAAAAAGGATTATTGAAAACGGTTCACGTGGTCCAAAGTTATGTATTCCGGCGAGATGATAACCTCCCTTTTTTTGAAGTCGGTTAAAAGCGTTTGAGTTCTGTTAATCTGTAAATAAAGTGCAGTTTATGAATTTTAAAACGTTTATTTATTTATTACATACTGTACATAAAACTTGCATAAATGTATTTTAAAGAGGGTATTATCTGAAGAAAATTTTCAGTATTTTCCGGTGATATATCTTCAGAAAAATAACCCCCCCCCCCCTAAAATATATTCCTGGGTGCGCCCCTGTCTTAAGGTATATATAAATGAGTTTGTAAAAGGGGGCAAATACCACAGGCGTGGAATTTTTAGTCAGTCATAACCAGGGAACGGATTTTTAGGACCTAAAAACCTATAAAAAAGGCAAAATAAAATAACGAAATAGGCTGGAAAAGGCAAAATAAAAAAGCGAAAAAGGCAGGAAAAGGCACTAGGTATTGCAAAAAAGGCAAAACAAAATAGCGAAAAAGGCAGGAAAAGGCAATAGGTATTGCAAAAAAAGCAAAATAAGGCAATAAATAAAATTATAGTTAAAAAACTAAAAACATGCTTCTATTACAACAAGACTAAAAAGTATATAATAATATTTAGATATAGTGATTCCTATCGGCAAAATTTTTTGTGGATGTATTTCTTTTCATACAAGTATTTTGCTTTGCTGCCTCTATGCTTAAGTGCACATTTAAGAAACCTACCCCAAAATGCGCATCAAAAGCATTATTTTTAACATTTATTAGGAAACTGCTCCGATAGATGCATTCAACATACCTGCACATTGGCGATACCTGCCTTAAAAATTGTGCGACTAGTATCAATTGTCAATGAAAGTATTACGTTTACCTGCACTGGCCCTACAATTACCTAATTTTACAACCTTTTATTTATTTTGCTCATCTCGCAGAACAACGAAAATGGCTATCAATTTATGTAGTTATATAGATAATTAGATAACATTCGGTAAAAATTTCGCTTGCAGTAATTTCTACATGGTAAGCGCTCCGCCAATATTTGGTTTCATAGGGATTCGGATACCTTCCTCATTGAAGGTGTAAAGAAAATTCGCTTAAGTGCCTTTTTCGCTTACGTGCACAAATTTTTCGGGCAAAGAAGGATGTGCAGCTAAGCAAAATATACTGTAATATATGTTCTAAATATGAACCACATCAGACTATAAATGGGGGTTTTACAAATATCTCATCAAATCAGACTTTAAATGCGGGTTTTACAAATATCTCGACTCCTGCGTCACCTAGCGGATTAAGTCATCTTTTATATTGCATTGTCCTCGAGTTCTGAGCTAAGTTTGAAGTTTCAGGTCTGTAGCTTATCGGGAAGTTTGTTAAATATTGACTGCAAAGTTCCAGGACATACAAAGATGCATACATACATACATACATACAAATGAAGTTAAATAAAAGCTTGTAAAAAAGACAGAAAATACGAAGAACAATCAAAAAATACATTTATTTTAGAAATGTTTATATTACAAGTAAACAGAGAAAAACTATGAACTAGTTTCATTATATGAAAAATTTGTACTTTGAATCATTGACTATTTTATCCTTTCGAGTTTCTAACTCATAAAACTTTAATCTGAATAGTTGTAGTAACATTGAACCACAAGATGCATTTTGATGTTTTCTGGCAGCATTTTCATTCGATTTTCGCGAAGAAAAGCCTTGAATGTACTAAATGTGCGCTCGACGTAAGTTGATACAAGTGGAGCCCAATTTAAATATGGAACGTTTAAAACGTTCATATTATCAGGAATAAGGGCGTTTTCCTCGCCCTTTACAATTTTATCCACACCCCTTATTATCTCCAAGCCTACGTGAGCTGAGAAAACGGCTTTGAAATTTTCCAACACCAATTTGGCAAGAGGTCCCTGCGCTTCTATAAGCCGCATGGGCATGTGTATATTTTTTAATCTTAAAAAAAATTGTAAATGCTATAATCACTTTTTTAAAGGTAGAAAAGGCAAATATCTTATAAAAAGCAAAAAAACATCAAATGTGTATATATGGAATCAGGGAAAACTAGATCGTGGACATTCTTAATCGAATATACTCTATCTCTTTAGCAGAAAAAAAGGCAATTTCCATAAAATCCGTTCCCTGGTCATAACTTTGGAACCATGAGTCACATAAACATAACATTTGGTATGCAGACATATCTATGGTAGGTGCTTATAGTAAGTTATATATAAATAAGTTTGTAAAAGGGGGCGTAGCACTTAACATAGGCTTGGAATTTTTTATCAGCCATAACTTCGGAACAACGAATCACATGACCCCTCTAATTCCTTCTGACGTGGTGTAAGACCCGCGGGTGAAAGCATGGACTGTAGATATTATATTTAAATAACCCTTTTGTAACTTTTTTCGAAAGGTGGCAACCCTATTATTTTTTTTTCTATATTAAATTTTTTGTGCATTCTCAGTAAAATGGCCTTATTGCAGCTCATTTAAATTTTGTTATTTTACATATCTGGTAGGTTTTTAAATTGTTTTCTTTACAAACCTTCCACAGAAAGAATAAAATAAAATAAAAGTGAAGCGAATCCGCGCATCCGTTTGTGAGTTACGCGGTCATACTCGCACAGCAATTAATTTTTATATATAGAGACTTAACTATCTGAATTAAGTTCTTTTGTAGTATTTACAAGCGAATGCAATTATGATTTATTTCCTTACTTACCCACTAGTCGTTCAACAGCATACTCCAAGTTTGCAGCCGACACCTTTTCCTGGCAATTTCGAGCAGCATGTAGTGCAGCTTCGTTGCAAACATTTGCTATATCGGCTCCTGAAAATCCAGGAGTTAATCGAGCAAGCTTTTCTGAAAACTTGTTGGGCTCAGAGTCTAGTTTAATACTTGACAAATGTTTCTCAAAAATTTCTTTGCGTTCATGTAAAGTAGGTAAATCAATCAAAATATGACGATCAAATCTACCGGGACGAAGTAAAGCCTACAATAAAACAAAAATAATTTATTTATTTTAACTATTTAGAAAACTAAATAAGTGTGTTATATTCTGCGTTGTTAACCCTGCCTTCATAACGTTATTTCTTACCCCTTAATTCATAACGGTACGTCTAGTAGGCGTATAATATTTAAAGGGCATTATCTGATACCTAATAGAGCTGTAAAAGTAACGAAAATTCGGATACCCGTATGTATTCGTTACTAATCCAATCAACACCCGTATCTTTGGTATCGTTACTTTACTCGTTACTTCTGATACAAGCACTTGTACCTCACAAGAATCATCGCAACAAATCTTATATCTTATATGCATATGTATACACGCAACATATTTTTTGTATCGATTCGAACAATTTGATACAATCAGCCACTTGTACCTCACAGAAATCATGCATGCATGTACGTTAGACTGCATCACTCCCCATACAAAAAAAAAAATCGGTACTATTTTTCCATTGGAATTGGAAAAAATATTAAGATTTAAGTGAGCTGGACCGATTTGAAAATACCTACAAAAATCGTGTTTTTTATGAATAAAAATAGTTTCTTAAAGATTTTTTTTTTTGAAAAAATCCCCTCAAATGATAAAACGGTTTAAGCTTAAAATATTTGCATAAAAATATTTAAAAAAAATAAAAAAAAAATTTTGAACGGAATCGTAATAGAGAGCTTTTTNGTAATATAGAGCTTTTTGATGCTGTTTTTTAACTTTTTTCAAAGATTGGTATAGGAAAAATTTGAATAACTGAACCTAAACTCCTCCGATTTAGACCTAAGAAGTGTCATTGGAAAGGTATTTTCTCACCCTTTTTACTTCTTTGCTAATAAACTCTCAAAGGATGAAAGAGAAAGGTAGGATGAACGAACGTCATTCAAAGTTGAATTAAGATGTGTTGGTATTCGAAAAAAGAAAGGATGGGACACGAATGACGTTTTTTTTGGCCAGAAATAAAAACAGTGTTAAAATACCTTTCTACTGAGATCCAATAAGTCTAAATCAAAACATTTTTAGCCCAGTTATTCAAGTTTTTCGTAAACCAATCCTTGAAAAAGTAAAAAAAACAGCATCAAAAAGCTCTCTATTACGATTCCGTTCAAAATTTTTTTTTTATTTTTTTTAAATATTTTTATGCAGATTTTTTAAGCTTAATCTAATTTGTGATCTGAGGGGGCTTTTTTTAAAAAGTTCTTTAAGAAACAATTTTTATTCATAAAAAACTTCATTTTTGGAGGTATTTTCAAATCGGTCCAGCTCGCTTAAATCTTAATATTTTTCCGAAATATTTTGGTGGACGTCTTAAAATATAATAAATTTTGTAATCCCGGTGGAAAAACCGCAACTTTTTTTGGTGATGCAGTCTACTGTACGTACATACATATACGGGCAACACACTTTAGTATCGATACGAAAAACAGTTTCGTTACCGCACAATATGTTGTGTTGTATTGATTCAAGTTGATGGTGCATATACGGAACATGCGAGTAACGAGACTATTATGTGAGTAACGAAACGAATCTTGCAGCGTAAGGAAATGTTGGTTCGTACACACGATTGAGAGAATACAAAGGTTGCGCCGATCTCGGACCGCTATTCCTCTCTTAACGAATTTGACAGAATCGTTGTTTGCATGACGTCACACTGGTGCAACTTGTTTACGTTTTCCTTGCAACATTTTTTCTTCTTCTTCCATTCTTGCTCACGTTTTGGCATTTCTCTCTCGCAATTGCACCAGTGTGACGTCACACAAAAGTTATTCTCAAAAATCCTCTCTGATCGGCGCAATCTTGTATTCTATCATTCTTGGTTCGTACATATGCATATATGTACATATATACATATCACGATTGAGAGAATGCACAGGTTGCGCCGATCTCGGACCGCTATTCCCCTCTTAACGAATTTGACAGAATCGTTGTTTGCATGACGTCACACTGGTGCAACTTGTTTACGTTTTCCTTGCAACATTTTTTCTTCTTCTTCCATTCTTGCTCACGTTTTGGCATTTCTCTCTCGCAATTGCACCAGAGTGACGTCACACAAAAGTTATTCTCAAAAATCTCTCTGATCGGCGCAATCTTGTATTCTATCATTCTTGTATACATATGTATACACGCAACATATTTTTGTGTCGATTCGAACAATTTGATACAATCAAGCACTTGTACCCAGTGATGGAAAAGTAGCCACAATAGTGCCATTTTTGGCCCTTTCATTCTCAGAGGCACTTTTGGTAGAATTCATCCTGTTTTGGCACAATCATAAAATATAGAAGTTTATCATAAAATGCCAAAATATAACAAAAAATTACATACCACATTATAGATTAAAAAATTATAAAAAGTGTAAATTAAATAATAAAATAAGGGCTGTGAGAATTATTTGCAAACCGCTGAATTCTGTTGTGAATATGCAGTCCGAAAAGTAAGTTTTCGCCACAACAAGCTTTTAATTCAGAATTTTTGGAAAGATTCTAAGTTCGCAGTTTTATAGTTCATTAAATGAAAGTGCAAGTTTCTGCAATATCCCGCTGATTTTTGATATTTTTTTTCTGACGGTGTCATACATTTTGATCTATTTAAAAAAATTTCGAACACACTTTATATGGAAAAAATGCATAACATCGAAAACTTGGAATCTCCCTAAAAATTCTGAATTCAAAGTATTTTGTTGCGAAAACCTGCTGAGTTTTTATAATTTTTGTACAAAGTTTGAAATACCGATTTGTGTACATTTATTGTGTTTATTAAATTATGAATTAGTTTTATTTAAAATCAATTAAAAAATAATCAATGAAAATAATAGGCGAAACTGGTCAAAATGTCTTACTGCCATTATTTCGCATAAAGGTACATACATATGAGTGCAAGAATGCCAGAATAGCTGTACTTTAGTGTATTTCCCTTCCGTAATTGGAATTCTGTGTAATTTTACTATGAATTTATGTATATGTCTAATAGGCAACATAGACGGTACGCCTGACTCGCGAGTCAACTGTGTACGTGTTCACTCGCCTTTCGACTAAACACAGTTGAGTCATTCAGAGTCATACCAGAGTCGGCATCATGAAGATAACCAACCGTTCAGCTATAGAAAAACTAGATTGCTAGTACTTTTTACGCTGATTTTAACTATATAAATATTATTTACCGCAATTAAAAAGTAAAGTAGATATAAAAGGTAAAACAAAAAAATTTTGATATTTTAAAATATTAATATTTTCTAACCTGCGCAACCGATTCAAAAGGTAATGTTGTCAAAATAAAGACAATTAATTACTCTTCGAGCTGATATATAAATGTGTATGCTTTTTTACATACTTAAGCCAAAAATATTATAAAACAAAAAAAAATTCATAAATTTTTGATAAAATAACCTTTTTTTAGAAAAAGTCCATAATCAATGCTAAAAAAATTTATATTATTTAGAAAGTGCAAGTTTTTAGCTCTAATTTGATATACATATTATATAATGATTTGCTTTTGAGTTTTCAGAATCCAGTGATAATAAAAAATATAAATGCATGTATGTGCAAATCCATATTCCAGTTAATTAAACGGGTTGGCTTTCCATTATGGCTGTTCGTTAAAGGGGCGGTGGACGAAAAGTAGGTGGGCGTGGCACCTTTTTGGAGAGGGACTGAACCGCCATTGACAAAAATGCAACCCCCGACCACCTAGGTCCCCTATGGTTCCTTAGGGACCTCTTAGAAAAATGGCTAAAAATCACAATTTTCATTTGCGTTTTTTCGCTTGAAAAATGTTAAACATTCATTTGCACAAGACATTTTTATATACAGCGTGGCGACGAATAACTATTACCCCGGTTTTTTTGAGAAATAAAAGGGTCCTTTATAGATTTTGCGAAAAAAGTATTTTATTGTCAATTTTCCACAGATTTTACTTTAGTTGTATTAATTAGTTATTAAATTTTAATCCCTATTTACATTTGCCAGCAGTTTAAACTTTGAGAGAAAAGTTCATTTGGCACGCAAGTCTTTTTCAGGTGTATTTTTTCTTAGGCTTTGTATAAAAAATACAAAAAAGAAAAAACCTGTATAAGGTTGGTCGAATGAATGGCCGTCCTAGTCACCAGTTCCGAGTCTATTCGATTTTTGAGTATGAGCCCTTATGTCGAACAAAAGCGGGAGTATAAAGGACTCAAAATGGACAAAATTTGCCTATGGTTACAGAAGATATGGAATAAATTAACTGACGAAAACCTGCGTGCCAAATGAACTTTACTCTCAAAGTTTACACTGCTGGCAAATGTAAACAAGGATTAAAATTTGAAAACTAATTAATACAACTAAAGTAAAATCTGTGGAAAATTAACAACAAAATACTTTTTTGGCAAAATCTATAAAGGACCCTTTTATTTCTCAAAAAAATCTGGGTAACAGTTATTCGTCGCCACGCTGTATTTATTTATAATAATATTTATGATTTATTTATAATAATATCTATTTTTTCTCTTAAGAAATTTATTTAGTCAGAACATATGTAAATGGAAAAATTAATTTAAGTGAGTTATAGAAAAGAAACTAAAAAAAATTATTGTTTGAAGTCTTTTTTACTTTCAAGTCTGGGCAATTTCGCACGGCTCTCTAATGTCGTCGCCATAACAGCCTCTACATTTTCCGGTATAACCCGTTTGGAAACGCTAGCTAGCAATTGAACATGTGAATTCTTAAACCTCAAAAGTAGATCATAATAAAATATGTATATCAAATTAAAGGTAAGAACTTGCACTTTCTAAGTAATATATATGTTTTTAGCATTGATTATGCTCTTTTTTCTAAAAAAGTTTATTATATGAAAAGATTATAACATTTTATTTGTTTTTTAATATTTTTGGCTTAAATATATAAGCAAGCAAACACATTTTATATATCAACTTAAAGATAGATTCATTGTCTTTATTTTGATATCATTACTTTTTTAATCGGTTACGTAGTTTAGAAAATATTAATATTTTAAAATAT